ATACAGTTGGGCCCCGGGGCAATGCAGTTGCGCCTCCTTCATCAAGGCCTGCGGCCAGATTTAGACAGTGGGCCGATTTCCCTTTGGCATTTTCGGCCTCTATACCTTGCATGCATTGTCGGCCTCACATTCGAGTGCCCAGGGCCTAACTAACTCAGAGGCCCTGGGCATTTCAGCATTTGCTGAAATCCGAGACTAGTTGCTCTCCAACCAACTGGCGTGCTGCAACTGTATGGACCCCACTTCGTGAAATGTTGGCACAAAGGGCTCTTGTTGATTTGCTGGCCCGCCTTCACTTAGGGCGGGCACGAGGCTTGCTGGGGCCTTAGCCCAGAACATGTACATCATGGCAAGGCCCCTACTTGAGGGCTCAATCCTCACATATTTTTATTTTTTTTGAAAAAGAACGAATTAAAAGTAGTTTCGAATTGTGAAAAAGAAATGCGAGGAACGAGTTGATTAATTCTAAAGTATTTGCGAATTAAAAATACTCGAAAAAGAATTAAGAAGAAGTTATTTTCGAACAAAAAGTTGAAAAAGAAGGAATTAATATTATTTTTGAATTTCAAAGGAACGTCGAAAAAGAATGAATTAATTTTAACCTATTTATAAAAAAGAAAAGAATCCAAAATATTTTTGAATCACAAAAAACTTCGAAAACGAATGAATTAAAATTATTTTTTAATTTCGAGGAAGAAATGTCGAGAAAGAATGATAAATTCTATGTATTAAAAAAAATATATTGAAAAAGAATTACTGAAATGCAAAATTTGAAAAGGAAATGTCGAAAAAAAAATAAAAAAAATTGCGAGGCTCAAGGCCTCGATAAGCCTGACTAGGCCCTCTTTTCAGTACAGTCGGCCGCCCTAAGTGAAGGCAGGCCCGACCAAGGCCTATTTTGGGGTCTCCACGCTACTGGGGAAATCCAGGCAGTTGCGCAGCGCCAGTTGGTTGAAAGCGCCCAGGCCCTGGCTACCTTTATCAAATGCATCTGAGTCGGGCCCTGGGGGAAATATGCAACAAGGACCCAACTCAGGCTGCGGGCAATTGGGCACGGGTAACTGTCACAGGCCCTGGGCCTGATTCGTGCAAACTGGGGCTCAGCCTCCCGGGGCCTATCGGAAGCTTCTGGGCCGGGGCCCGGTAGCAGGTAGGCCACTTCCAAGCGCCTGCCCCCGCATTCCTCATTCAGGCACTGGTTGTATGTTGCGCAACCGCTGCTGCACTAAACGCTGGCCAGGCTCACGCGCTCATGGGCGAGCTGGGAGAGGCAGGCAGCCATAGCCAAGTTGCGCTGCATAGCTGAATGGGGCGCATGGTGGTCCTTGGGTGCATGTGGCATTTGTGACTGGGGGATTGAGGTTGTGAGTGATGCGAGAGACATACCTGGCGCTTGAGGCGAACGACATTGGCCGAGATCTGTTGTTACTTCGGGGGGCCACCAACGACATTGTAGATAGGCTAGATAGGATCTGGCATTTGTAGTCTGGGTGCAGAGCACGAGATAGGATGTCGACATTGGTTCTTTGTTGATGATGATGAGACTGTTCGAACATTGTCACTTGTGAGCTTTTGCTGTGCTCTTATTTGGTGGGACTGGCGTTGCAATTCTGCTTTTGGTTCGAGGTCGCGACTATCTGGTCTCATGTGTATGATGCTGCTTGGTTTCTGAAGTTCGCTATCGCCCATTTTCCTTGCATAATTCATTACTTCCAAAGTATTTTTGGATTACAAGAATTTCAAATGAATTTTGAAAAAGAAAGAAAGAAAAAATAATAGTAAATAAGGAATAAATGGCTAATGAAGTAAAGTGAGGATGGGGTGATCGTATCTATGATTGATTGGGTGGTGGGGTAGTTGGTAGGGTTAAAATGGGGGGGGGTTGCACGGGTAGATGGATGGTGATGATGTTGATGATGATC